TCGAATTGGTATTGTGATCATGCAATCTTTGCATGACAGAGTCGGATCTAGTATTATAGACAACATCATGTGACATGTGTTAGCCTTACTTAGGTCACTACTATTACTGATAGTACTATTAGTATCAATGAATACTATATAATTACTAATTATTTAATAATAATATATTATATAAATTATTATATATTATAATATATATTTATTAGTATTATTAGTATAATTACTATTAATAATATTATCATTACTCATAGCGTCACGGCTATGACCGCTGAAACGAAACGTCGACGAATTGTATTTTGATCATGGAATTCTGCAATGACAGCGTCGGAGGCAATTTCCTCTGTTTAGACGCATTGTATCGCTGATTAAATATATTATGGTGTTGGGGGTGACCTGTTAGGGGGGGAGAGAGAAGATAGGAAGGACTGACAGATCAGAAAACAGACTCGCCCTTTATGTAATTGGTTTAAAATTGTTTTTGGCCTAAAATGGTGCGCCAAGTGTATAGAGAACATGGGTCCAATAAAACCAAATGTGCCTAACCTAACCCTAAACTCTTAACCCTTACTAATTATATTAGATATAATATTTATTTATTTGATGTAAATGACATTGGTTTTATTGGATCCATGTTCTCTATCCCATGTGTCTATCCTTGAACCTGAAATTAAAGATGGTCGTGGCGAGCTGAAACTTGCTGAGAGTGCCTAACTTCTATGCCTAAGTACGACAACACTGAATGGTTGCCGAAAAAATAAGCATTTAGGATTGCTGTTATAACTTTTTATGATTTTTATACCTTATATGATGGTGTCTTCTCTTCGAAGCTAATAATTCAGTTATTGTTATTGTTGCTGTAATTTGCAACACAGCTACTAAAAAACGTACACTGCGAAAATTCGCCGAAGGCAGTAGGTGGGTATATAGCGCCACCGCGCGGACATTTATTAAATTTGACATTTCTTGTATTTTTTTTTGTATTGTATTATTTGTTTTTGGTCTAAAATGGTCAGTACCAATCGCTTTTAGTACTTATACGCATGTTATGCTGATTAAGAATATAGTATGGTGTTGGGGGTAAATCTTAGTGCGGGGAGAGATAGACAGAAGACAGACAGACAACATGACAGGACACAAAACGGCTCGCCCTTTATATAAGAGATAGTATTATCTTAGGGTAGTATAGTTATATAGTATTATAGTTAGTTAATATTATTAGGTTATGGTGTAGTGTATATAGGTGTATATTAGGCATACATATATCATAGTATATAGTTATATGAGAAATGGAGAGCAGCAATTAGTCACATAATATCGCGCCGTAAACTATGGCGCCACATAATAAATACTTTGTACATGCGTCTCATGCAGACAAGCGGACATTAAGTGGACTGTTCTTGCCATCGATTACATTACTAATGATTGACAAGTACACATGTACCACACCAGATGCAAGCTGATTAGCCTGCAGTAGTTTATAGAAATCGCTACTTTATACACTGCATCTGAGTCCACATTTTAGACTGGACGCACTATCAATGATGCGGGGAGAGGGAGAGGTGCAGCACTATGGACAGCATTCCATAATCCATGTTGTTTTTACTGATTTCGTCTACGCTACATCTACTGACTTCATGACTAACATTAGCGACACTAGGACTTTTTAGGGCGGTTACCTCAGGCATTAATTACTTAAGCTTTAAAGGATATTCCTTTGAACTTTTCAAGCAGCAAACAATAAATCAAGGCAAAATGAATTATTTTAACATTTGCACGCTTTGTACTTCCTATATATGTGTGTAGGATTGAAAGAAAATTGCTCAGGAATACGTTCATTCAAAGCTTTTAGACTACAAAGTGAAACATTTCAGTCGAATGTTATCAAACGGTTTACTGTTGCGCTATCGGCGATATGGGCCGCTCCGCACCACTTATTGCGTAGTTATGTATGTATGAACCATGCTATGTAAAATTATACATTGGCATGTTATGACAATGGTTTTTGTCTGGTCAATACATGGTATAGCTCGATACGGAAGGGCAAACGTATTATTGCTGGAGATTATAGTATCTGAGCGAGCAAGCGAGCGAGCGAGTCGAGAGTCCTGTCAGGTTTTGTTGGGATTTTTTAGCACGTTCTATATCGAAAACAGTTAGGTAAAAATTCTGAAATTAATAACATAAACAGTCGAGGTGCCTCTTCTGTCTAGCTACAAAGTTTGATTTCATAACATGATTTATATTTAAAGTTATCGGTATCTTAAAGTGACTACATTGACTGCGATTTGAAATTATGGTTGCTCAAATATTAAACAATATGGCGCCTACGGAACTGCGGCGAAAAGCGTTTTTCGAGTCTACCGTGTCTCCCAGTTCCATTCGGGTCGTTTTCATTCGATGAGCAATATAGGGCTTGATACGATATTTTTGACAGTTTATTTTCAAAGCTAAACGTTTCAGTTAAAAGTGTCATGTTAGGTCATTTACTGACGTTTTACAGTGCGTTTGTTACACAAATTTACGTAGAACAAGGCTTTCGAGGAAAGCTAGCCTTGGTAAATTTCAGACTTTTGCACTCTTGTTGAGTTCCACAATGCTACTCTGTTAATTTCGAACCCTGACCTAACCGATATTGCACACATGAGACAGACAGATTGGGCCCAATGCAACAAGACAAGACGCGTGCGTATAACCAGCTGCTTCATTGTTATAATTGTCAGATCCGGTCGTAAATTCTCAAGATAATATGACGGTCTGTGAGTCTAGCACCACGCACATACTACTTTGTATTTCACTTAGTTAAATATTATACGTAATAACTTATTGTAAAATATAATAACGTAAACTAGATAACTAGGATGTGTTTATTAATACACTAATAATTGATAATAATAATAATTAATAATAAATAATCAGAATAAATAACAACCAGAATGAAATTTCAATAATATAACAATGCCAATAAATAATATAATAGATAATGTAATTTAAAAATTAACTAACAATAAAAAAAATAATCTATATACTATAACAAATCAAAACATATAATATATGAACATGATAGTAAAATAAATACAATCAAATAACATAATGGCCACCACGTTTTTCCTTCTTTGGCTTCTTTGTCCAGATCTATGCGTGTGATGGTGAGGTTTGACACTTGCAGTATGAGAGAGAGGGCGAGGAGACCGCGATGCGGATGCTTTCATTATACGTAGGTTCCAAGGCCGCTGAAAATGCAACGGGTTGTCAGCCAATGTATCAGCCATGCCTACGGCCCTACACACGCACACGCATGTATAGTACATTGTATCAATATATATGTGTATATATATATATATTATATATATAAATAAATAATAAAACGCAAGCACGCACGCACGCCACGCACGCACACACCACACACACCTTCCACGTGTTCTTTTCCTCTTCTCTTTCAGCAGTTGCTAGCAACCTTAAGCCAGCGTAGTAATGCGACACACACACGCACGCACGCGCGCGCTCGCACGCAACTTCACGCACGCTCATGCACACACACCTGCGCGCATGCACACAGCGCACTTGACCTTCGCACGTGACCTTGGACGACTGGAGGTCCGACGGCCGTAGCACGGAGCGGTTGAGATGAGGGCCGTTTCTTTCAGCGTGTCGTATGCCCTCGTTCGTCAGATTGTTATGCCTTAGGCTTCCACCGTCTCTATAGATGCTTAGACTTCGCCTTGGCGAGAGAGAGACAGTTAGAGAGGGACAGGAATAAAGAGAGAGAGAGAGAGGAGAGAGTGGAGGGCATAATTTAGTGAGATGAGAAAGAGACAGAGGACAGGAGAGAAAGTGAGAGAGAGAGAGAGAGAGAAGAGGGAGAGAGAAGAGAGAGAGAGAGAGAGAGAGAGGAGCAGAGAGAAAAGAGAGAGAGAGAGAGAGACGAGAGTAGAGCAGAGGGAGATCATTGTGGAGAGAGAGGGACGAGAGGCAGAGAGAGAGAGTATGAGAGAGAGAGAGAGAGAGAGAGAGAGAGAGAGAGAGAGGAGAGAGATGAGAGAGAGTAGAGAGAGAAGAGAGAGAGACGATGAGATGAGACGAATGAGAACCGAGAGAGAGATGCAGTAGAGATAAGAGAGAGAGAGAGGAGGGAGATAGAGAATCGAGGAGAGAGAGAGAGGAGAAAGAGAGAGAGAGAGAGAGAAGGAGAAGAGAAGAGAGAGAGAGGAAGAGTAGAGAGAGAGATGAAGAGAGATAGAGCAGGAGAGAGAGAGAGAGAGAGAGAGAGAGATGAGAGAGAGAGAGAGAGAGAGAGAGATGAGGAGAGATGTGGAGAGAGAGGAGAGAGATGAGAGAGAGAGATAGAGATGAGAGAGGGAGGGATAAGTGAGAGAGAAAGAGACTCAGAGGATCAGAGAGAGAAAGTGAGACGAGAGAAGAGAGAGAAGAGAGAGAGAGAGAGAGAGAGAGAAAGAGAGAGAGAGAGAGAGAGATAGCAGGAGCAATTTTATTTCACGATATGCAAATAAAGTGATATAATTCCATGTTAATCGCCATTGTTTCCGGTTGCTATGCACATACACGAGCCAAGTTAAAAATTTGAAAATCTACATCTTAAAAATGATCAGGGTAAATAAAAATAAAATAGAGATGCAAAATGATTTAAAACTCCAAGTGCATTTGACTCATCATACTTGGGTAAAATTCAGGTATGTTCAAACAATAATGCCCAGATAAAATCCAAGTACGTTTGGTCTGTTGCAGCCAGATAACATCCAGTGGTCCGATATCAGAAACGACTAATAAAAATGTAATCCTAATCATATAATACCAACAAGTCATAATCATAAATACTTATCATACTACTACCATATAACTCTGGGAAGTCACTGACTGACGCACAAAATTTACAACGTACCAGACATTAATTGCCGATAATCACACTGACTCACCAGTACGTTAGCTAGCTGCGGCGTGCCCGCGTGCGTCACACCATTGTTCCACAGCACCAGCGTCTGAAGCCCGCTCTCCTTCGTCTGCTCCGACAGTCCATCCCCCAGATAGGACAGCCCCACGTCCTGTGTCGTCACGGTGACAGCGGCAGCGGCAGCATGGCAAAAACAACGAGAAGGGAAATGTCAGCGATCGCTGATGCTGCTACTAGCAGATCCGAGCAAATTTCTGGGGTGAAAGTTAGGAGGAAGAGTGGAGCTCCTAGGCAATGTGCATAGCGTGGGTAGCGGGCGGCTGGGGGTGGCTGGGGGGTGGCTGGGGGTGGCTGGGGGTGTGGCTGGGGGTTTGAGATGAAGGTTTTATGGATGTCCACATAATGATTTACAAGTATTGTGGGGTTGTTAATATTTCTTGGGCTTTATTTTCTTTTTCTTTAAAATCGTACTTGTAGATCATAGACTGTTGTCACCTTACCTGTAGACTGCTTTCACCTTACCTGTAGACTGTTGTCACCTTAACTGTAGACTGTCATCACCTTAACTGTAGACTGTCATCACCTTACCTGTAGATTGTTGTCACCTTACATGTAGGCAGTTGTCACCTTACCTGTAGATTGTTGTCACCTTACATGTAGGCTGTTGTCACCTTACCTGTAGATTGTTGTCACCTTACATGTAGGCTGTTGTCACCTTACCTGTAGACTGCTTTCACCTTACCTGTAGACTGTTGTCACCTTACATGTAGGCTAGACTGTTGTCAGCTTACCTGTAGATTGTTGTTTCTCAGGTCGAGCAGCTGTAAAGAGGAGTTGACTCGCAGCAGGCTGCCAACCTGCATGCCATCAGACGGTGTCAGCTTGTTGTCAGACAGGAACAGTTCTCGTAACGTCTGATTCTGCTTGAGCGCCGCCACTGCATGAGACAACATGTATGGCGGGTTAGTGACACGATACTCTGACACAGCATGATGTATGATGGGTTAGTGACGTCAGAGTATCGTGTTACTAACCCATCATACATCATGCTGTGTGTCGGAGTATCATACAGCATGATGTATGATGGGTTAGTAACACGATACTCTGACACAGCATGATGTACGATGGGGTTAGTGACACGATACTCTGACACAGCGTGATGTATGATGGGTTAGTAACATGACCCCATCGTACATCATGCTGTGTCAGAGTATCGTGTTACTAACCCATCATACATCATGCTGTGTGTCGGAGTATCATGTTACTAACCCATCATACATCACGCTGTGTCAGAGTATCATGTTACTAACCCATCATACATCACGCTGTGTCAGAGTATCGTGTTACTAACCCGCCATACATCATGCTGTGTCAGAGTATCGTGTTACTAACCCATCATACATCACGCTGCGTCAGAGTATCGTGTTACTAACCCATCATACATCATGCTGTGTGTCGGAGTATCATGTTACTAACCCATCATACATCATGCTGTGTGTCGGAGTATTAGTGACACGATACTCTGACACAGCGTGATGTATGATGGGTTAGTAACACGATACCCCAACACACAGCATGATGTACGATAGTTCATAGCACAATCCCCCGACACACAGCATGATGTACGATGTGTTGGAAACATGATACAACGTAGCACAGCATGATGTACGATGGGTTAGTAACACGATACCATGAGACATATAACACGTACGGCAGGTTGGTAACACAATACTGCGTGACATAGCATAATGTACGACAGGTTAGTAACATGATACCCTGAGACAGTACGTACGATGGATTAGCAACATGATACCATGTGACATAACACGTCAGACAGGTTGGTAACACGACGCCGTGCGACAGAGCACCTAAGACCGATTATTAACATGACACAGCACGATACAACATGTACGACCATTACAATAACACGTCACCGTGAAACGCAACATCTGTGCCATCCACAACAACATGATACTATGCGATACAAGTTGCACGACAGTTAGAATAACACAATACAGCGCATAAGCTAACAGCCGTTAACGCATATTGGTTAATTAAACGCCCCACGTCACCGTCGGCTGCTCTAAACCAATCGTTCTAATTCGAATTAGCCATTGTCATGATCATCAGCGAGCAGACAACTGCAGTGACTGCTACTACCGCATGCCCCGCTGCACACGGGGAAGCCCCCCACGCGTGCACGATGTCACACCGACACACACAGGTACTGCAGCCAAGCCGACGCACAGACACTAACACAGGTGTATATATATATATAAAGAGAGCGAGGAGGGAGGGAGGGAGGGAGTGAAGGAGAGACAGAGAGAGAGAGAGAGAGAGAGAGAGAGAGAGAGAGAGAGAGAGAGAGAGAGAGAGAGAGAGAGAGAGAGAGAGAGAGAGAGAGAGAGAGAGAGAGAGAGAGAGGAGAGAGAGAGAGAGAGAGAGAGAGAGAGAGAGAGAGAGAGAGAGAGAGAGAGAGAGAGAGAGAGAGAGAGAGAGAGAAG